GTGGCGCCACCTGGAGGCAGAAAATGAGAAGGACGATGAAAAGAACAGAGGAAGCGTTTCTGCCCCCATGACTCTCCCCTTTTATATTTCTTGGTGATCGTTGTTCCAAACTTGCCCTCTCAACCCTAGTTCATGGATCTGCCATCATACTTGAGCTCTTAAAAGTCATGCTCAAGAAATGGCTGGGAACAGAAAAGCAAATAAAATTTAAATTCCATTTTTGCACCTATTTGGATGTCTTTGGACTTTGAGATTCAGCAAAATTTTATCATTTGACAAGATCCTTGAATTTACCCTCATCTCTTTTTCCCTTCCTCCCCGCCCCCAGCACACGCGCGCGCACACACACACACACACACACACACACACACACACGTCTGTACATGCTTGGTCAAAGATATCAATCAACATAATTTTCCCAAGAAGAAAATGAACCACCTTGTGACCAGAATCTCAAACCTCCACAATCTCTCCCCCATTTGGTTAGGACACAGAAAGGGCAGCTACAATCCAACACAAAGCTGGAAGAAGACGTTAAGACTCTTGACTTCAGGTCACATGTGGGTTCTGGAAATTTGGACTGCCACCTTATTATTAAACCAAGAGGCAGTAATGAAAGTATGGTGTCTTCTTTCAGAGACTCACAGGACTAACAGCCATTTTAGACATCATTTACACAGAAAAAAACATCAGCAACATTTCTTAATTTTTTTAAACAGGCTGATTAGTCATTAAAACATCGAATAGAATCTCATTCAGTAAAGTAACACAGATCCGTGTAGAGAAAGGCCGGGCCCACTGGTGGCCTCTGGAGGAGGAAGGGGAAGGGGCCTTAGGCAAGCTCTGTGTAATCTCTCTGTGGCTCATTTTCCGCATCTGCAGATAATGACAGTCCCTTCCTCATAAGGTTTGTGACAATCAAATGAGTTAACATAACGTAACGTGTCTGCAACATTGCAGCCCAGAGGAAGCTCAAGTAAGGGCACATCACAATTAGTGTTTTCATAAAGCTTCCATGTTTTTCTAAAACGCATCTCTATATCTTTTGTTACCAAAAAAAGTCATTTAGATAAACAACCCTTTAGGGCACGCCACTAATCAAGAGCAGAAATACACTCAAACTATCCCAAAATGAGCCTCTACTCTCAAAACTCTAAGAGAGAGGTTCCCCAGATTCATGAGGTGGAAAATTTAATGACTCAACCCAGGTGGAAATTTATTCTAGTCCATTAACAGATATTTCACAAAGTCAGAAATACAACTAGCAAACAGGGGTATGGGAAAACATTCAACCTCTGTAGAAAATAAAAAATAAATATTAAAACACATAACTGTTTTCAAACTATTAAATAAACCAGAAAAAAATATTTTTTAAGATATTTATTACCCACTGCTGCCAAGACTAAAACAAAGTCGGAATTCTCACACGCTGCCAGTGGTCAAGCAAGCTGGTGCCAACCTGCCGCAGGACAAGTGCACAGTCTGTATCGAGGGCCCGAAAAGGCCTCTGTCCTTCAACCCAGTGCTTCATCTCTGAGAATCTAGATTAGATTAAGAGAGTTTCCCAAAGGAGAGCCACGCCCACCCTCATGTGCACAACAGTGAACACCATTTCTAACGGTGAAAAACTGGAAACAACATAAATGCCAAAAAAATGAGTAAATAAACTATACTGCATCAAATGAACGGACTGTTTAAGCCATAAAAATGATAAAGAGAAATATTTTAAAAAGCATAGAAAATAGAAAATATTAAAATGCTGAAATGTTACCTGGAAAAAAAAAATCAAAATATAAAAATGTATATCCATGGTTATTACAGCTGGGCAAAGCCTGAATGAAAACATCTAAGATGCTAACAGTTCTGTTAGAGCAGTGACTCTGTGTGATTCTGTTTTTTTATCCTCCTTGTTTCCAAAATTTTTACAATATGTTATTTCATTCCCTTTATGATAAAAAAAATAAGTTTCTCTCTCCCTATCTTACAAAAATCTCTCCTCTGCCGTGGATGCAGAATAAGCTGCTCACTGCCTCGCACCCCACCATGAAACCCCTCTCTGCGCTCTTCTCTCACTCCCTGAAAACGGCAAGAATTCTCCTTGTTTAAGTAAAGTATATTATCTCCTAAACACCAAAGCTGTTTCATAGGGCACTTGAGGCAATCACCCCTCTATGTTGAGACCATCAGCCGCCTTCACTCTCATCTCCGTAAGTACCGAGTTGTCCCAAGGAGTCCAAGAAAAGGCTTTGTAACTTCTGAGCAAGACACGAGAGGAGGGGGCACAAATTCTAAACCGGCCACTCTCGGGGTGCCCTTGAAAAGATGGTCTACTGAGTACCCTGGAGACCTCAGCTCAGCCCATCCTGGCTCTGGCTGAAACAATCTTGTGTCCTCTGGGGATGTATAAATTCCTTAATGGACACTAAACATTTTGATCGGCGAAGTAAAAAAACAAGAGACTTAAACACCCAACGGCAGGAGAACAGTTAGGTTGCAGTGTGTGTCCGCTTGATGGAACAGTAGGCAACCTCACAAAACAACAATTATAAATGCTAAATATGGTAATGTGGCAAAGGGACCCCAATGGGAAGCAGAAAAAAGCGAGTACTCAATCACAGGTCCCCATGACAATCACCAGACAGAAGGGTCTGTGCAGACTGACCAACAGGTAACGCTTCATGATTGCAAGTCACCACACCCAGGCACTGTGCTGTGTGCGTGATGTGCATTCGAACTTCACAGCGATCCTTATTGGAAGTCTTTTATTCTCATTTTGGAGAGGAAGGAATTGGAGCACCAGGAGGTTAAGGAATTCTCATTTAAGCCTCCAAAGGCTAAGGTGTAGAATAGGCTGGTAACTTTCCTAGCAAGGGAGGAGTGGGGCGGGAGGGCGGAAGGGTGGGCGAGGTTTGGACATCCGGGTGCTCACACCCAAGACTCCTAGACTGGAAGGCAATGTGTAAGAAATTTAAAATGCAAATAGATCTTATTTTACAAAATGACTTCTTTTCCTTCCCTCTATTGTCTAAACCTTCTAGCGTTTCTGTTTTTATCATTTAAAGACACACACACACACACACACACACAAAGGCAACAGAGAGGATTTTTTCAATGCATGTGTTTGTGTGTATGGTTTTTTAAAATTATGTTTTGATTGACAGACTAAATATATGTCAATCAAGTCTCCGCTACACTTGGAGGTTAAGGGTAGGAAATGAGGAGGAAAAAAATGATGGCCAACAGCCAAGGTGACACGGTTCCAAACTAAACGGGCAGCACCGGGCAGCTGCCCGCACCATCCTATGTTCTCTCTCCACCACCTCCTCCAGTTTGCACATGAATTCTGAAATCATGGCTCTGGACTGAATGTCAGAGGATGCTAATATCACACAGCTGGTACTAACAAAGCTGGAAATAAAACAAGTTTCAACTTCCAGCCCCACATTCTTCCAGACTTATCTGTGCTGAATATTCATTCCCTTCCCCACGAAGGACAATTTGCATTTACTGGAGTTCAAATACAGACCTCATCCTAAAAATGGTCATTCTGCATATTTGTATAGCGTTAATAATGCTCAAAACTGGACACATGCTATCTCATTTGATACTCAAATGACAAATGTTAAATGTCTAGTAATTTTGAAGCCATGCTAGAAACAGAAAAGGCTGAAATAGACACAATACTTTTTTAAAAGCTCTGCAAAACTAAAAATGCGTTATGTATAGTGGTCTATTCAGAAAAAATCATGCAACAAAAAAAAGGAAACAGTTCCTATCAAAAAACATACTCCCAGTCCATACCCCTGAAAACTTCTTTGAAGAGCAGGGGTAGGCAGCAAGAATGCTAGACCCCTTGCACAGGTGAGGGGCCAGTCTCAGAGTGCGCAGCTCGCCCAGGAGCATCCCATGAAGGCGGGGGTGGCTGGCTCTGGAGGTAGACTCCAAACCCAGTGCTCCTTCCCCTGGGTCAACAGATTGGGCCCCAAATCCCAGTACCAGCTCTGTTAAAAGTTCATATAATTGGGCCCTCCTCAGCCACATCCTCAGTTGGCTTCTAGAGAGTCAGCAGCTGGAGACCCAGAACCCTCAGTTCTCCTGTCAGAAAGGCCCTGTGGCCCACTGCCCAAAGCCCAGGAAAGAGGCAAGGACCATTGTCCAGCTGTGTGGTCCCCAGGAAGCCACCCACGAGATAACCCCAGGTCCCAGCACTCATCAAGTGTGCTTCCCACCTGCCAGGGTGCCACAGCCAAGCTCACGCTGAGGCACCAAACTCTAGTAAGGAAGAGGGGCATGGACAGGGAGCAGGAGTAGTGGACCCCTGAATGCCCCTCCACTCACAGCCCAGGGGCCTCCTTTCTCATAGGTTACCCCTCACCCAAATCTCACATATATTTTGGGGGCACAAAACGGGTAAGAGACTGAAAAGGAGGTGGGGTGGCAAGGATCAGAGAAGATTCCCTCTCCCTACCCCTGCCCCAAGGCCCTGGTGGTACCCGTTTGAAGATGATGCCCAGGTCTTTTTGGCAGAGGAAAGGAGCACGTGGAAGCAAATTACTTCTAGTCAGTACCAACTCCATGCTGGATCCTTGACATGATGCTACACCTTACTTTATCGTCAAGAACACCGCATGAGGTACGAGATGTGCGAGATGGTTACCAGCCTGAGCCTCGGGGTCAGGCAGCCCTGGGTTCAAATCCAGGTCGGCTGCTTCTTGGTTAGTAGATACTACAGCTACACAACCTCTGGGTCTCAGATTCCTCGTGTGCAAAGTGAAGGCAATGACAGTCCCGCAGAGGGAGGGTTAGGAGAGCCTGGTGGAGGGGTCCTCTGCTCTTCCAGAGCTGTGGCTCCGTCCCCACCAAGACTCCCGTTTCTGCACAGGCCATGCTCCTCTGAGAAAGAGCTCTGGAGTGGAGAGGGCAGGACTGCTGGCCATGAGGATGGGGCCTCCTCCGCTGCCCCAGCACCCCTCCCCGGCCCGGCGGGGCCCAGCACTCACGGCACTCCTTCTCGTCGCTCTTGTCGAAGCAGTCAGGCAGCCCGTCGCACTGCCAGGCGCCCGGGATGCACCGCCCGTTGCTGCACATGAAGTTCCCCGGAATGTTGCACTCGTTGGTGAAGTTGTTCCCAGGGAGCAGCTGGCTCTCTGTGGGACAGAGGGGACAGAGAGGTCAGCCGGCACGGCGACGGTGGCAAGGACCCGAGCCCCTCGACCGAAAGGGCTCTGGTTTGGCATGGGCTGTGTGCGTGAGGCTTCCGGTAGGTGACTTGATCGCTTTGGGCCTCAGTTTCCTCATCTGTGAAATGGAGTGAGAAATTACCCCTGGGGATTCTGAGAGGACTTGAGGGAGAAATAAGGGGAAAGCCCTTAGTAGATGCCTGGCACATATTAGGTGCTCTTTGACTCTACTTCTTTCTCTGTCAAAAGGATTAGTTGAAAATCCAAATGTTTTTCCTGGCCATCATCAGTGACTAAAAATGAAGGTTTCAAGACAGCGGTGATGGAGCGCTGGACTCCCAAAGCCTCCGGCAGTAGGGACTGCGGGCTCCTGCCAGGTCTCAGACTCTGTGGTCTTACAATCACAGAATCCTTGAACTTGGGCCAAGTGGATATTGGCAGATAACTTCATTTTAGAAAATGGAAGCCCCAGCCCACAAAATCGATCCACCTAACGTTGCACAGGGAGGAAAGACCAAACTGAAACTGAAGTCAGGCCTCTAAGCCCACGAGAACTCCAAGGTCACTGAACTACTTGCCAAGAGTTCCTGGAGGTTTAGAACCAAGCCCCAAGTTTAGATGAAACTCCAGTGAATAGTCACAAAATGCCAAGGCTCTCACTCAAAAGTGCTAACTCTTAGTCTAGAAAGCAGAGAAGCAGAGAAGGCCAGGAGCGTGGGGGAGGGGCGTGGGATTCATCCACCAATGCACGCCAGGGGCGGATTGTCAAGGGAGCCAGAATCTGATCAATCCCATCAGTCTGAGCCAGAGCGACCAATGACTGGGAGATAAGGAGCCACCTGGAAGTAAAATGGTCTTAGAAAAGAAGAAGAAGAAAAGAAAAAAAGACCCGTCTCTCCATGGCTCCTGAGTCATGGGTGAGCATTTACTGAACATTTATGACCAGACACTTGTGCTTGGTCCTAAATATGTGGAGATGAAACACAGGGCTGGAAAGGCACACCGGGTACCAATGGTTTTATTGCCACGGACTAAGAGGGGTGTCAGGACCTGCCTGGACGTAGCAGGGGGAGAGAAGGGCCCATGATCCTCTTTCACAAGCTTTGTCAAAAAGAAGCATCTTATTCCAAATCCCTAACGTCACATCTTTCACGCCCCTATCCTTTACGGGTGCTATTCTTTTCACCTGGAATGCCCTTTGACCCGTGGGAGTCTCCTAGTAAATCCCTACAGACCTATTAGCATACAACCTCTATGCTGCCCTCCCTCTGAAGTGTTCCTGACTTCACTAGGCAGAAAGGAGCACTTACTCTGCTGTGTGGGTACGGTGCTACTGGGGTGAGACTGAACATATCTGACAGCTGGAACAAGTAGGCAACAACTAACTGGGAAGGACAGTCACACGTCAGCCCAGGTGCCACGGATATCACTGCAGACCAGCTGCGCCCCTGAACTCAACTAATAACGTACATACAAGTAGGCAACAACTAACTGGGAAGGACAGTCACAGGCGAGCAGCACCACGTCAGCCCAGGTGCCACGGATGTCACTGCAGACCAGCTGCGCCCCTGTACTCAACTAATAACGTACATGCCCGTCTCCCTACTAAAAGCGAGTTTTCGTATTTCAGAGTTCACGGAAGAATTCTAGAAAAGCAGCTACAGTGAGGGGCCTCTGCAAGAACCAAGTCCTGAATGCTAGTCTCCAAAGCCATAACTCTAGCCCAGGTCACCACCATTGCTTACTAGAGTTACTGCCACAATCACCTCACCTGGCCTCCCCGTGGCCAGAGTGACCTTTCTAAAGAGCAAATCGCATCATGACCTTTCCCTTTACTTTAAAAAGCCACAGAATGGTTCCTCGCCGTTCTTAAGATAAAGTCAAAATTCAAAGCATTGAAGAAAGGTTCCAGTAAAGAGGTGGCATTTGCAGTGGATGCTCATAGGTACAGAGATAGAATGTTGAGGGCCCTTCAGGCCTAGAGAAAGACAGCAAAGGCACAGTACAAAAAGGCTCAACCCAGGGCAGTGAAGGGTCTGGAATAAAAAATATGCAGCTGTGATTGTCAGGAATTGCAAACATACAGTGCCAGCATATCATCAATTCTATCACCAAGTCAGACATCACTAATCACGGCACTCGGTCCATTGAGCCCACACTCAACACCAGCATCCTTCTAAGGACTGGACTCTGAAAGCCACCACCCACCCCGAGAAGAATATGAACGCAAGTCACTATCTCTGGGGGAGGGCTCAGGATGGCAGAGTGGGAATTATAGGGGACACTTAGAAGGAAAGGCAGGTGCTGGATCCCGGCCAGACATGGAGTGCACAACCCAGAAAATCCCACGCAGTGCAGCTGTCTCCGAACGACTGCTCTGGGCTCCGCCGGCACACAGGGAGCTCTTCAGGGCTCCAGAACGCAACTGTCACTCTGTTTTGTCGGGAAATCACCTCCACTTGCTTTTGTAGAGCTAGCTCCTCAAAGAGAAGTCCCCTGGAAAAGTCACCGCAACTGTGACATCGTGTTCTGATAAACAGATTTCAGGAGGCAGAACATTGGGCAGATTAGATTCCAAAGCGCTCGCTCTGAGAGTCGGTGGGCTGGCGGCACATGGGCTTGACGAATGAAAGGGTGTGATGCAGAGACGAAACACCACATCTGTTACACACAGGTGGTCCTGCCAGCCACAGGCTCAGAGCTTTACGGACAGGACCATAGATCCCCAGAGCCCGGTGAATGATAACACAGAGGAACGTTCTTCGTGTGCTTCTGAGCAACTTCATTACGTATGCAGGGGGCACAGAGCCTGTACTTTGGGGAAGTGACAGTATCATCACACTAAAAAGCATGAAGAAAAACCAAGGCAAAGAAAGGTTAAAGTTCCATTGATTCTGTCTTCAAAAACTTTCCTCAAACTCATCCAGTGTGCCTTGGTCAACTGGCACCACCTCTTGTCCCCTTTAAACTAGTGGTTCTCATCACAGGGCAATTTTGCATACGTGCACCCCCACCTCAAGGGGACATACAGCAGGATCTGGAGACATTTTTGGTTGTGGTATCTGGTGGGTAGAGATCAGGAATGCTGCTGCATGACTACAACGCACAGGGCAGCCCTCGCAACCAAGACCCACCAAGCCTGAAATGTCCATGGGACCGAGGCTGAGAAATCCTGCCTTAAACCAATCTTCCAATTTTCACTTCTCACTGTCCCCAGTTCTGTCTCCTCACAGCAGAGGGAGATTTTAAAATGCTACTGATGGCTTCTCAGTGCCTTTATAGTAAATCTAAAACTCCTGCCATGGTTTACAAGGCCTGGCATGATCCGGCCCCCCCTGCCTACCTCTGCAAAGTCATTTCCAACCATTTCCTCAGACTTAAATGTCCCTCCTGCAGTGAGGCCTCCGTACGTGCCGTTCAGTGACCCCAATTCTTCCGCCAACCTTTTACCTGGTGCTGCAGGTATTATGAGCTGAACTGTGTCCTCCCGAAACTCATATGTTGAAGTCCCAACCCCTCGTACCTCAGAATGAGACTGAATTCAGAGACAGGGCCTTTAAAGAGGTGGTTAAGATGAGATGAGGCTGTGAGGGTGGGCCCTGATCCGATATGGCTGGGGTCTTATACGAAGAGATTAGGATGCAGATACACACAGAGGGGATGCCAGCTGAAGAGACACAGGAGAAGATGGCCATCTGCAAGCTAAGGTGACAGGCCTAAAAAGAAACCAACCCTGCTTATACTTTCATCTCAGACTTTTCACTTCCAGAAGTGTCAGAAAGTAAATTTCTATCATTTAAACCATTCAATCTCAGGTACTTTATAATAGTGGCCCTAACAAACTAATCCATCTGGCTAGTCTCATTTATCCTTCGGACCTCAGCTTTACATCACTTACTCTGAGACCCTTAAGTTGACACCCAATCTAAAGCTGGTCCCCCTTGTTTTTCATTCTGGTAGTGTCCCCTGTTCTCCTTTATCCCAACTTGTGCTGACTGATGTGTCTGTACTATCTCCCCACTAGACTGCACGCCCCCAGAGGGCAGAAGGGCACTGCTTCATTTGGCTCTGCATCGTTCACATCCGGTGTTCAGTATGTCCCCAATAAATATGTGTGGATGCGCTAAAAAGAACACCAAGTGTTACTGACTTATCTCATCCCCAGCACTGTTCCTTAGAAAGTTCTATTCACCCCCTGCCTCATCCTCCTCAAAGGTGAGTGGGATCTGTACATATATAGTTAAAAATAAGGTACATGGGGGTGTCTGGATTTGTGCAAGTAAACTGCTACCCTGTCTGCTTTTAAAGAGGTGAGAAATCTTTTCTGCTCGACAGCAGGACTTTCTACTGGCTGAAATATTTATCTCATCTCAGTGTCTTGGGACCCATTTAGAATCCAAAAAGACAAGCATTAGCACAAAGTTGGCTAGCTGGGGTTATTCCTCCTCCCTTTTCTTTTTTTCATTAAGCTGAAAAATGAAAAAGAGTTACCCATTTTCACTGCACCACATCACTTACTTAAAATAACTATACCATCTGCACCGAGAATGAAAAAAAAAAGTCCCAAGTCCTCCCCCACTGGGCAAAGGCAAATAGCCTGCTACAGCAGCTTCTTCCAAAATTTCTGGCACCCACAAATTTATATTCGATGAGGAGGCCAAGTTTGGGGCAACTGCAAAAACTCAGACAGCTGGAACTGGCAGTTAGTGATGTTGACTTTTCCAGCTGAGAAATGGGAATTCTAGCAGCCAGAGTCCTCCACATTCTCACCTCCCCCTCTGCCAATCTTCTGCCCCCCGGGGATATCCCTTGTCATGATGCAACAGAGAACTGACATCTGCAAACTATTGACAGGCCCTGCTTTCAGATTTCTGTCCAATCAACTTTGTTTTTCTCCTTTGCTTCCTTGACAAGCCTGTCTGCAGGCTCCATGAACGACAAAGCAAGATACATAAACATATGCACAGACACATACGGCTTAGTGTTCCATTTTGCAGATCTTAAATAGATCTTCCCTAAAAAGTCCCTGGAGAATTAATACACCTCTTGCCACCGCCTGGTGCCAACAGCCATAACGTTATGAGGCCACTGAAAACAACCATCTGTTTTCCTTCTGACTCACTTCAAACACACACATACATGCCATGCACAGGCACAGGTAAAGTGCCGAGGGAGCTGGTCCGCAGTGATCTGTCTGTAAACACCCTAGAAAAATCCCAAAAGTCCCTTCGACTCCAGACTGCTCTACATGGTGGCATCGGCATCGGATGGAATGAGAGACTTTTGTCCCAAGCGCTTCCCAGAGCTATTGGTTCTCATCGAACAAACTGCTTCCTGCTAGAGTCTTGCTAAGGGGAACATGCCGGCTGTCACCAAGAAGGGAGCAGTCATGTGTGGATGTCTGAACCTAAAGTGAGGATGTGCTGCTGGCTCCAAGCACCTGAGCACAGCCAGGTCTCCAGCTCTGTCTAGACTACACAACGCCCTGCCCTGTGAGCTCATTCCAGCAGCCCCAGCCTCTGTTTACCCATCTGTTCAAAGACGAAATTGGTGAGAAAGTATAAAATGACTCATCGTTCAGCCCATTTACAGATTTCATATTTGCACAGATTTCATATTTACACATAAGGTGTATCGTCTTTATCCCTGATGGAAGATCTAGTATTATTTTACTGCAGGAACAATGAACGGACGGAGCAAGTCACCTGGGCAGGGAGTGAGCCTAGCTGTCTGCTCGGCGTCTGTACTTCACGCTGCTTTCTTGTTTGCTTCTCCCGTGAAATGCAAAACAGCAACCGTTACAAAATGATAAATGCTTTGTTTCCTTCTCAAAATGAGCTGGCAAAGAAAGCTAATGGCGAGTATTAATGAGAAAAGCAAAAAAAAAAAAAAAAGTTAAAAAGTCTAGGAATAGGATAGTTCTTTACCAGGAAATAGCTTTATAAATTATTTTTGTCCTGTATTTATAGCCTCATTAAGAGCCCGAAGCTGTTACTTACATTTTTTAGTTATGCTTCATTGCGTTTCATGAGGAAAATTATGTCGGAGTGACATTAACGTCGTGGGGATTTGCAGAGCTGCCCGCATGTAGCCGGAGCAAGGTCCGAGGTCCAAGCTCGGGGGCTGGACAGCAGCACTGGAGGACATTGCTCTTCACGATGCTGACCCTCAGGGGCGGGGAGTGGGCCCCGCCCACCCTCATCCCCATCCCGGAACAGCCCTTCGGAAACCGGTCATCACCGACTTGTCACTGGGGAAGATGGAACAGCTGCCGAAGCTCTTCCCACGGCAGGAGTCTAACGTCCGCGCTCTTCTTAGTCCATCACTACAGCTCTATGCAACAGGCACCACGCCTGTTTTGAAGAGGAGGAAACAAAGACTGGAGAAGTCCTTTGCCCACGGTCACACAGCTACAACGGGGGCCTGCACACTCTATAAAAGGCCAGAGAATGAATATTTTAGGCTCTGCAGGTCAGGTGGCCGAATTAAAGACATTGTATAAGGGCTTATATGAGAGGGACAAAAAAAATCCTACGAAATTTTTATTGATGAAATTCAAAAGAGTATCTTAATAACTGAGAACAATTTTCCCGCAATACAGGCCTATGAACGAGAAGAATGAAATCCTTCGCGGGGGGCGGGTGACATTTCACTTGACTGAGGTTCAAAGTTTGTGTTCGCTATCATCAAAATCTATTGCGAATGTTTAATTTTTATTTTTGACCATTTAAAAATTTAAAAACCGTTCTTAGCCCGGGGACGTGGGCCATGGTTTACCGACTTCTGAGCGGAAGATGGTAGGTCTGCCTAAAACGACAAAATGGCAAGAGAGCCGATTCGAAGGCACGTCCTCTCTACCCCATCACACCCACCACACTCTGAAATGATCCCTGTGGTTTCATAGAGCCGATTCGAAGGCACGTCCTCTCTACCCCATCGCACCCACCACAGGAAATGATCCCTGTGGTTTAACGGCTGCTCCCCTCGCCAGGAAGGCAGGGACTTTGGCTGTCCTGCTCCCCGCTGTGTCTTCAACAACTAGCAAGTGCCAGGAACCCAGCACTCAGCAAATGCTTGCTGACCGAGTCGGGGAATGGAAGCCGATGGCTCCTGAGGACCCTTCCATTCTCACAGTCCCTAGTTCTGTGAATTTATCTAAACCCTACTGGAATCCATTTACGTTTCTGTGCAAAATACAATGGATAAGTGAGACTGGGTCTGCAGAACACTCCTGAGCTCCTAGGGGGAAAGGAACAGATGGGAAGGACTTCCAGGTGAACATTTACGAGTGCTCACACATCCATGTCCTCGGCTGCATGTCGGGCCTGGGTGAGAACCTGCAGCAGAAGTTGTCCCCCACATGCGCTGTCTTTTCAACTTTAATCAGCAGCAGCAGCAGGAAGCTCAAATCGGGCAGTGGAGCTACACTGAAGAGGACAACTTTATGACCAATTTTATCAGGCTTGAAGATAAGCAAGGCTTGTGAGAGGGCCAATCAACCCTGCACTTCAGCACCTCTCAGAAACAGCCACCCAGTCAAGAAGAAGGATTTTGCTCCGAACCCAAGTTCGGCCCAGCCCTATCTGCCCAGGGACGGTCGCAATAATTCCTACAGTCACTGCAGAACTGTTCTGCAGCCTATATTCTCCTCTGTGCAGAGACACCCAGGCAGGGGGGAGCACAGAATACCAAAGCAAATTAAGGAATAAGGGCAGAAAAGCTGAATGAGTTTCATTTAGGTCCAAAAGCATATCTTCGTGAGCTCAAGGTAAGGAAGACTCTCTGGAATAAGACTCAGAAAAGCACAGGCCATAAAGACTGATAAATACTAAAATGTACAACTGCATGAAAAGATACGATAAACAAATTTCAAAGATATGCCACTAACTAGAAGACGGTATCTGCCATGTATATAACGCACAAAGATCGATATCTAGGATTTTCTTACAAGACTACATAAGAAAAATTAGGTGACCCAATGGAAAAGTGGACAGAGCATATGAACGGGTACTGTCACTGATGAGCAAACTCAGACAGCCACTTAATATGCACTCAAGCTCACTTGTAATCAAAGAATGATTAACGAAACAAGGAAGTTCTCTTTCACACCCATCAGACGTGCAAAATTTTCAAGTCTGACAATCTCAAGTGGTGAGAGGATGTGGAGCTACGGGAACTCACAGGCTGCCCGTGGTAGAGGAACGCAGAAGAGCCATTTGGCAATTCCTAGGGAAGCTGAAGACGCTTCCTACCCTTCCACCCAGCCGACCGTCTCCTGCACCTGCCGACCCTCTCCTGCACTACGCCTGGGGGAAAATGTGCCAGATACAAGAGCCTGAGAACATTCACGGCAGCACTACTACTAACATAAAGCTAGCTGCAAGACACACACTAAATGTTCATCAAAAGAGAATAAATGAAAAATCGGGGTACATTCACACAATGGAATACTACTGAGAGCTTCAGTTTACTAAACTGGGATGGCATGAATTAACACGGAAAAATTTGAGAAACCTAACATCGTGGAAAAAAACAAGTTGAAGAGGATCACTTAAATCAGGCTTGAAAAATTACTACTTCAATGGCTACATACAGATGTAAACAGAGTTTTGAAAATGTATAGGAAAGAAAAATAATAAATTCAAGAGATCAGTTACACTCTGGCGAATGGGATCACAGGGTACACAATGAACTTCGAGACTGGAAGACTTTTTTTCTTCAAAACAATCTGAAGCAAGCAAGACAGAATATCAGAATTCCACGGAGCTGGGTGGAAGGCACGCAGGCTTTCTCTGTGTGAGTCTTGGTACTTTTCTCCACCCTTTAAAAAAGTTTCATTAATAAAATTTATTATAAAGAACAAAAATCACGCTAATATTTGAGAAAAACCTGTGAAAGACATATGGAACCATTTACCACTAATATTCTAGCTTCAAAAACCCCATCAAGTAGAAAAGAATGAGAGATAAAAAGGAGGCAAGTGTTCATACTGGGGCCAAAAAACAGCCAACGCAAGGACGTCCATCTGGGAGATTCGGTCTATTACGAACTCTTTTCATTTTCTGAAAGGCAGCAACAGTTGCAGGGGAGCAGCGGATTGTGCAGGAAAAAAAATAAACACATCTCACAAGATAGGTTTACACACCCAACTTATTAAGCTGTGACATTCCAAAAATAAGAATAGCCAGGCCTAACCAGAAGATCAGATATTTTTTAAATAAGGGTGGGAAGAGCCGCAGTAAAGCTGTCTTTCTCAGAATAGTCCACGCCATCTGTCTCCTTTGCTCCTCAGCATGCGGCTGCAGAAGGCTAAGCAAAGATGGCCTTGGTTGAGGCAGCCAAGGTTGTGATTTGACACAGACACATGCCCAATTCTCTTGTCACTATAACTAGCTGTGTGACTTCAGATGAGTGAATTACCCTCTCTGAGCTAAAATTCTCCATTTGTAAAACTGTGGTAACCCTGCCACCTGGGCAGGGTTGCTAAGGTATAGAGAAATATAATTTATCTATCTATCTATCTAAATAGATAAAGGGATAAAGTAAAGTAAATAGATGGCATATGCTTGGGGTTCAATAACTAGTACCAGCATTTGCTACTTCTTCTTTCCATCTGCACACTCTCCCTGGCTGCCCTCATAAAGCTGGTACTGTCAGTGGTACTCAGACAAGGCTGGGGCCCTTTTCTCTCTTTGATTCCATAGAAAGGGTACAGCCTGGGTAGGCGGTAAGCCTGCTGGAAATGAGGTTGGCTAGCTGAGACCCGTGGTCACTTAGGTCCAAGAAAGTATAGTTCGGGGACAGACACCAGGTTGTAAGAACACAGTTAAGGAGCTCACAGTGCGACCTGGCTGTGTGTCTTCTAACACATGAAGCCTCGGTTTGGTTATTCCTAGGAAACAGTGAGCCCTGCTTAGATCATTCCTCGAGCTCGTGAACAGCAGCCAAACTGTAAACATGACCCCACCTTCCAGACAAGGTGGTTATGAAGCAAGTCAAGAGAAAGACACATGGGATTCACCACTGGAATCTGGGGGCGTCGTTCTATCTTCCTGGGTCTCAGTTTCCCTGTGTGTAAAGTAAGGCGGTAATAGATGACATCCGCATTCCATTTCAACGCTCAACTTGGTATTCTCGTTTGTGTGGACACATACCCAGTCCTCATGGCAGGCAAACCCTCACCATCTGCCCGTCCCAGATATATCCTTCAGCATTTAAATTGAACACCTAGGACTTCACCAGGGCTCCTCCGCCGAAGAACCAAAAGCATCTCTGCCAGGCAGGTGGCAAAGGTAGCTCCTCCTTTGTAAATACAGAGAGACTAAGACCTACAGATCGACCAGCCTGGCCAAAGATGGGGCTGGAGCTGGCCAGAGAAGCCAGGTTTCCAGGGCCTGAATGACACTTGGTCCCTGCCTCTGCACTTCAGAACTGACCTGCTCCGTCATCTGCTGGGAGGTGGCTGGTCCCCCACTGCCCTGGACAGGAGAAAATCACCTCCAAAGGGCCAGGAATCTGACCTGCCCCCTCTTCCCTATAGATTCACGGTCCTCTCCAGTTCACCGCCATTACCCACAGCCTTTCATATGTCTCAGCAGGTTTGGCTTATCACTTCCGATTAGGAGAGGAAGCTGCCAGGAAAATAAAACACATAAAACTGGTATCACTAAGCAAGGCGGGAATATATATTAACCCGGTGCGTCTTTTTACATTTTCTTTAGCAGCTTTAAGCCATTAAAGCTGGTCCATCTCGCTTCTACAATCTGGTCACGCGGATGCCCTGCCCTGGTGCTGAGCCCGACGACAGGCCCTCCATAATGAGGAATTAGCTGACTTCTTGAGCAAATGACATTTGTACATCTAGCAAGCGCCAGCGTCAGGCAGTATTTACTGCCGGAGTCCCCGTGTCTGTATGCACATCTGAATGAGTACAGCTTTCCCAGGGAGCAATTTACATCTGCAAGAGACTTGTCGGATTTGGTAAATCAAAGGGTTGGAACTGTGCAGACTAACCTGTTCGGGTTTTCCAGATCGCGGAGGTTAGCTTCTGACAGTGCAGAAAACAAAGCAAATTAAAAATTAAAGAAGGATTACAGCACTCGTCTCACTCAGTGGCCCACAGACTCTGAATTCAAATTCCACTCCTTCCAAACTCAGGGACGGG